TCATAGATGGAACTAATGATAGAAAGAATACCTCTTCGAGTAAGAGGTCTATCCTTGATGGTCACCTTGAACTTGAAGACATCCGACTCAGCACACCACTGCACACCTAATGCTCTTTCCAAAGGTAGCGCGTCATGTTCCAAATCCAAGGTCTTAACTTTCTTGTCTCTGTCTTCCTCAGGGATGGCATTTAACACAATGCGGCTGTTGCTTATCCATTTGGTTAATCGGAATCCACCTTTAGCGCACATTTCTGTGAGCTTCTGGTACAATAGAACAGCTTCTGAATCTGTAGGCACAGATACAAGACAGTCGTCTACATAGAAGTTATTAAAGACAATGTCCACGGTCTTGGCATCATACAGATCCTTATGGTCCTCTGCACACTTTCTCAATGCATAGCTAGAGCAACTTGGAGATGACGTTGCTCCAAATAGATGCACAACCATTCTGTATTCTTCCAGATTGGCATCAATGTTTCCTCCAGGCCACCAAAGAAACCTCAAGAGATCACAATCATAAGGATTTACCTTAACCTGATGAAACATCGATTCTATGTCAGCCATCATGGCAACATACTCCATTCTGAATCGCACAAGAACACTCAACAGCGGACTTGTTAAATCTGGACCTTGCAAAAGATGTTCATTCAATGATGTTCCTTGATATGATGCTCCGCAATCAAATACCACTCTGATCTTTTGCTTCTTAGGATGATACACACCGTGGTGAGGTATGTACCATAAACGTCCATCAAGTCGTTCCAGTTCAGCTGTGGGAACCTTTTCAGCATGACCTTTAGTGATAACACTCTCCATAAAGGTAGTATAGTCAGCATGAAAAGAAGCGTTTCTTTGAAGCCTTCTTTGAAGATTCAGAGCCCGTTGTTCCACGATTGCTCTATTCCTTGGCATGACTACCTTTTCGTTTTTAAGTGGAAGACCAATGCAATAATGCCCATTAGTCAGTCTAGCTGACTGTGAAACAAAATCCATGAATTGATGATCTTCCTTCGACAATCCCTGCTGTTCCTCTTGAACCGATTCAGGAAAGTCACCCTTGAACTGTTGCTCCCATAACTCATCCAGTTTCATAACTGTGATCCTATTGACAGTCATGTGAGAATGTTCCTTAACAGCATACTCTTCCTGTCGCTTGATTGGTCCATTAACTGCCCATCCAAACATGGTCTTAATGGCGTATGGGCCACTGTCTTGACAGCGAATAATCTGCCATGGCTCCAAAGCCTCTGGCACATTAGCACCAATCAACAACTCCACATCAGCATCAATTGAAGGCAAACATAGATTACTTAAATGAGGCCAACAAGCAAGATCGTTTTGTGTGGCGATGTTGGTTTTACCTACAGGCATGGTCTTCTGCGTGTATACCTCTGGCAAAGCACAGTAATGCTCTTGATTCAAACCTGATACTTCCAGATCCTTCAGAACATAACAGCAAATGGATTTGTCCTGACTCATGGTTCTCATTAGAATGTTAACTTTCTTTGCCGAGAGATTGAGCTTGGACATCAAACTCTCTGTGCAGAAAGATGCAGAGCTCCCAGAGTCCAGAAAGGCATAGGTGGTCACAACTTTGCTTCCTTTCTTTGATTTCACACATACCGGAACGATAGACAATGCACAATTCTCTTTACCAGCCCCAGTAAGGGCACTGGACTGCAGCGAGACCAAAGCACTTCCCACCGTTGACTTGGACTCATCTTTATACTGAATGCCTTTTTTTTCTGATGGAAAAATATGAAGAATACTTGGGTGTTTGAGATGACATATCTTACATATGCTTCTCTCTTTACAATCACGGCTGAAATGTCCTGTACATAAGCAACCGAAACAAATCCCCCTTTGCTTCAGAAAATTCATCTTTTCTGCATGAGATCTTTCAACAAGCCTTTTACAGAAATGCAATGCATGCGCTCCTTCACAGAAGAGACAGGTTCTAGCCTTCCCACCATACTCCTTTGCACCAGTTGCAGTGACTGTGGTGGCAAAACTACTTCTAGGTTTTTGAGGCAATTTGGAATTCAGGTTTCTTCCTCCAATAGGCAGAATATCTTGAATGTTTCCGAATACCGGATCTGTGACCATTTTCACCTGTCTTTCTATGAAGTCCACAATATCAGAAAAGCAAGCTGGATGGTTACGTCTTTCCTGCAAATCATATGCCACCATTCTCCATCTTTCTCTTAGCTTATAAGGAAGTTTTGCAAGAACAATTTGCATATTAGAGGCAAGATTTAACTCATTCATGTAGCAAATATTCTGCATAGCATTGCAGCAACTCCTGAGAAATAAGCTGAAGTCCTGCAGAGCCTTAGCATCCTCGGGTCTTATCACTTGCCATGAGAGCGCTCTTTTCATGTAAGCTGAGGCTATCCTTACTTCATTGCCGAAATTATCCTTGAGCAAAGCCTTAGCCTGTATATACCCTTGCGAAGGAATCATTAGTTGACAGCTTCGAACCAGATCCTTAGGTTGCCCTCTAGTATACTGCTCCAAAAAATGCAAGCAATCTGCATGGCTACTTGCTTTCTTTTCCACCACCTCTTCGAATGTTCGTATAAAGTTGTGATAACGCAAAGGATCTCCATCAAAGAATGGGACCTCCCTTGGTGGAAGTGAAGATAAGTTGTGTTGCTGAACTAATAGGGCAGCAATTTCATTTTGCTTATCAATAAGCTTAAAGATACTTCCTCCCACCAAACCATCCTGTAAACTCGATCCATGTGCACCCTGCATTCCAAGTCCATGTCCACCATCCTGACTGATGCTGGGAAAAGTAGAATGTGTCAACCTTGTGTTAGAATTTACAATCTGTTGCTGTTGTTGAGCTGACTGCGTTGGAAAACGCATTGGATTCTCTGGTGTTGCTTGAGCCGGTGTATAAGATACAGGTGGCTGTAGTGGCACTGAATGTGAACTTGAAGGTAAAAATGGATCCACATGTGGGTTAAGAGAACTGGTTCCAGTATTCCTTGCCCTTAACGCACTGGCATCAGAAGAACTTGTACAATCACTTTGTTCTGATCTCACGTCACTATACACTTTCATCTTGGCCATGGATACAGCAATTTTAGTGTCCAGTTCCATTTGTTCTTTTCTCCTCCTCAAATCCTCCTCTTCCTTCTCCAATACATGTTTCCGTGATAACATTTTCTGATGTGCCAACAAGGCTGCCGTTTCGGCCTTAACCTTAAGATGAGCAGACACAATGGAAGATCGACTGGTTCGAGATCCATGAGTTGTTGTCGTTTTCCTGCCCACGTTAGAGACACTGTCATTTGGCTGTATTTGACTCTGTACATCACCATCGTCCTTATCACAGTTCGGATGTCCATTTGGAACATGCATATCATGAGATGATGAAACTGGTTCAGCAGAGGATGGAACATTAGAATCACAACTCAGTTGTGGTTCAGCAAAATTATCCATTGCTCTTGAATCATGAATGACAGAAAGTGATGGGGAAAGATTTGCATAACGTTGAGTAGAATTTGATTCTGTTATTTGAACATTTTGCCTTAGATTCTTAGCTTCATTCAACCATCGTTCAACATCTTCCACAAATCCATCATTGTGCTTAGAAACCACATCAAACCACTCATTTTGTTTGTTCTGTTCATCAGGAGGAAGAAAAGGAAGTACTTCTTTGTGCAACGCAGATGCATCATCTCTCAAACATTTTAAAGATCCCACCATTGAAGACAATTGAAAAGCATTTTCATCACATTCCATGAGATTTTTCATTGATAAAATCAAGCTCTTAATTTGATTCACCTTAGCCTTGCGATCCTTTTGCAATGCCTCAATTTTAAGCGCCAAGGCCTTTGCCGTAAGCTTAGGCTCTCTTTTGCTGCACACAGCAGCGTGCACAGACTCATCTGCGTCCATTTCTCACAGCACGCAATAATCCCAGTCATCCAAACAGCGCCGTATTCAACGCGTAGATCAAGCCAACAATTTCATGAATGGGCGCAGCTCCACAGCGCTATCACGAATGCATATCTTGCACTTCATTCCACAACCGCAATCCATCCAATACGCGGCACACAAACACTGAACGGCCTGCGACAAGAGTGTCTTCTCATTCAATAAAAAGCAATGCTGCAGCCAAACATAGCAAAACCGCTCACATACCTCTTCTGCCGTCAGGATACAGATGCGCGATCTCACTTCAGTGTGTGCGTCAGCGTTTCACATGCGGTGTGCGAAGAAATCCTTTCCAATCCACGATAATCAAAATCCAACAGTAGCCTATTTTCTGTTGACTAAATGTAGCGGCAGCCAGTAACCGCTAAGAGGCTGAGTAGAGGGAATAAAGTTGACGCGTTTCCACTGCGAGTCCAGGTGGTTTATTGCAACATTGAAATTGACAGAAACATGATGAATGATGACGGTAAAGTAAGCATAAAACAATTAAATGTAAATAAAATAAATGAAAGGAAAACGGTCAACAGAAAGTGAGCGTCCCAGCTACTCACCCCCTTCCTACATGCTAACCACACGCAAACTAACCAGGTAATATACACCTAAACCAAGTGACGTAACAAACTGAAAGTAAAAATTTCAAAATAAAAGACATCACCCAAACCTGGCACCTACACTTGGGACGACATGAGGGCGAGTCATTAATGACATCATTTTTTAAACTAACCCTTTAAGCTCCTGGTAACCCGCGAGAGCACCACAAGTTTCTCCTCCATCATTACACTCTCCTTCGGGCGTTCAAAGCAACTGTAGCTTTCATCACTACAACTCTCCGTTCATTTGATTGGACAGTGGGAAAAAACGCGATGACGTCGGGCGCTTTTTACGCTCGGAGTTGCTTTTTTTTCAACTGCAAAAACGCGAGGCGCAGCAGGCGGTAAACCGCGAGGCGTCTGGGGCGCTTAAACAGCGCAGAACGCTCACTGCCACAGGGAAACGGCGTTTGGTGTGATCATGTGAAGATGCTCCTGGTTGAATGAACACATTACTCACGGCGCTGGTCTTCATTAGCTGTGCTCCGCAGGGGCCGTTCCACACCATCGACATCATCTGAGCCGCCACCAGCTGCATCGCCATCTTCCCCACGGGACTGCACACACACACACACACACACACACACACACACACTTCTTTAACGTCGCTGAGATACAGCAGTCTAGAACAATAACAGAAAAACATCAACCTTAAGGTACCCGGATGGTGTACCCAGTGGATGTTCAAAGTGTTTAGACACAGTCAAACCAAAACGTATTCAGACACCTTCAATATTTCTCACATCATCCCAGTTTATTCGCTATTGTTTAGAAAATGGTAATACAATATGATAAGAACTCAGAGTTCAGTTGATATTTGACTGGTTTTGTCCGTCCTTCTGTTAGACTCTCACACATGAATTATGTTGAATATCTGTCAGCTGTTACATTTAACTACACACTTATATAATACCAGTTTAGCTCGACCAGTGACCAAGCAATGCTTCATGTTGTTCAGTCTGTGTGTAAAAAGCTCGCATTAGCAATTACAGAAAACACACTTCAGCAAAACATGACCAGCTCAAAGTGTCTGAATAGGTTTTGGTCCAAATGTGTCATTTTTACTAGTAGAATATTTGGGAATAATATGTCACAGTTTACTTTATTTTGCTCTCCTCACTTACATAAATGAACTATAGTGTCCTCCACCTACTAGTAAAAAAAGATCAAAAATTATATCTGGTGTCTGAATAATTTGACTGCATACACCTCACAATCCCTCATGCAACAGAAGAGACAGGTTAAGTAATGCATTTATCTGGATAATTACAACAATAGCAGAATGAGACAGGAGGATCTGCAGCATGCATGCATCACCAGAAACCCTTTGTGAAACAGAACTGGTAAAGCGGACTCTACCTGGTCCTGTCCTCCCCGTCGTCTATGTACGTGACTGACAGCCGGTTACCAGGCGGATACTCAAACCCATTCAGCTTCTCTTTGGCATAAACCGCAGAGCCCAGGTTATTGTACCGGACCACCACCTGACCTGCAGGACACACACACACACTGGCAAATTAATCTACGGAAGGGGTGGGCGATATACCGGTAGACGTGTCCACCTTCAGAGATTTTGGACTCATGTGACGTTGCTGCGCTTCGCGGTCACGAAAGCTTATCGTTTCCATGCATTTTTAAGTGTTGCGGTTTAAAAATAAGTGATTTAAGTGCAATAAGCTGTGAAAGACAACTCTTTCAGTATATGGGCCATTCTACAGAAATGGTGCAAACTGCTGCCCGACAACCAGAAAACACATTTACAAAGCATTTAAGTGTTCAAATTTGATGTTTACTAAGATCTTTCTGTTATCTATTGAATCCCACAATAATATTTAAAATATAAGCAAGCTTAATATATATAAAATCATCATTTATTGGGTACTTTCAATTGGGAGGTGGCTGTCCCGAACCCTAACCCCTACATTTCAGCTTGAGGAAATGTTTAAATATTTTTATACATTTTTTCCATTGTTGTTTTTAAAAATATCTTTTTGATTTCTTTAAAAAAGTAAAGAAAACACATTTTATATTTTAAAATCATGAAACTTTATGTAAAAAAAAAATGTGTCCTGCATTTTAATGCCACTACCAACAGTGTGTGTTTTAGTCCATGGCTGAGACAGATTTTAACCACAGCCCTAGTTTCTGATCAGGAGATATCCCTGTGTGCCTCTCTCTCTCATAGCCTCCGTTTCATTGTAGACAGGTACCATCATGTTGAGGGAAATGTGTTCAAAAGTCTACAAATATGTGTGTAACTTTAAGGGACATCACTACCAAACCCCTTTTTCTGCAATTAAACAAACTTTTTTTGGGTGTACACACAAAATATTTAAACCATAAATAGCAAAAAATATATTTACAAGGTAGATGTAAACAAAATATTAATAGGTCAATATAAGCCTTCTTATTAAATTATTTATTATTGTGTTTCGGTAGTGACAAATTTGGGGAGAGGAAAAATATTCCAAAACTTTCTGAAAATATAATATGATAATTAACTGCACAATTACTAGAAATGTGAACCTTGGATATTATACAGTTTGCATACATACAACAATTGTGGAAAAAGACACATTTTTCCCCCCAAGACGTTTCCAACTCTGACTTTGAACGGCCCAAATCTGAGAGACGCACGTTCATAGGCCCGTTTACTCCAGTCTTCAGTGTCACATGATCCTTCAGAAATCACTCTAATATGATGATCTGATGATCAAGAAACATTTCTGATTATTATCAATGTTAAAAACAGTCATGCTGCTTCAACCTTCTACAATCTGAGTCGAAAAAAATTATTGAACGGTACTGTATAATGCACAAATCATGTGGACTACTATATATATATATTTTTTTTTTAGAGAATAAATTATGACAGTAAGTAACTTATTATGACTATGACAGAACTGTAATTTTGGATAAATGTATTTACATTACCCTATAAAACAGTTTAGTAAACACTGAGTGTGTGGCAAAATCCACATGCACTAATGCTACAATTTTCTATTATGTCAATCATTTGTTAACAAACAAGTATTCATTACTTCAATGAGCTAATTGTTCCTGCCCTTAATTATTTCATTGTTTAAATGAATAAATTTTTAGCTTCTATGTACATTTCTGAAAAACATAACTAAAGGTGATGATACACAGGGCAACTTTTTGAGCAATGTTGCTGGGCAATTGTTGTTTGGGACAACAACATTGAAAATGGGGAATACATTTCTATCTGGATTATTTAGATCGGTCGTGGGCCCTGTGTCTCATCTGGTTGCCCGTTGATGGCAACATTGCTCAAAAAGTTGCCCTGTGTTTCATCACCTTTAGACAGTCACCTCTGATAACGGATCATGTGCTCTGAAACGGTGTGTATTGTGAAAAGCGCTCTACAAATAAATGTGAACTGAGTTGAATATGACCTTTGCTGAAGCCGTACTGATCGATCTGCATCTCGCAGAAGTCCAGCCCCGGGATCAGGTCGAACAGGCCGTAGATCTGCTCCTGCGTGATCGCGGCCCGGGTCGACACCATCAGGCACCGCGTGATGATGTCAGAGCTCCACGTGTCCCCCCCGGGGGCGAAGCTGCTGGACTCGTGCGCTCCTGAGGGAAACACAAACCCTCAGCAAAACAAACCACAATTGACCCTTCGCATGGAGTTTGATTGACAGGCGATCTGACCATCCGCCGAATCCGGCATTTAATCCGACAAAGCAGTCAGGAGAGTTAGTAGATATAACGTCGCTGGCCTTGAAACTTGAAAAACAGTGTGTACTGGCGTCTTTCCGCGGTTGAAAAAACCCTCATGTTGTTCAACCCCGTAAGACTTTCGTTCATCTTCTGAACACAAATTAAGATATTTTTGATTAAATCTGAGAGCTGGATCACTCCTCCATAGGCTTCTTAAGGGATCGAAACTGGCCGGCCCAAAAGTTAGTAAAGGCCTCGAGATTTCACGTAGTGATATTGCGCAACGCTTCTAGGTTGTACGTCACACGCATCACACACATGACCAGCGTCGGCCAATAGTGAGCCTGCGTGTGACGTGCAACACAGAAGCTTTGCGTAATTTCTAGGGCCGGGACTTTAACGCGTTAATTAAGATTAATTACACACTTTAACGCGTTAATTAATTACACAAAAAATAATTTTTAATCGCACTTATTTTTGCACCGCGGAACGTTTCTCACTGGATGAGTTTCGGCGGACCGATTATACTGGCGCACCAACTAGCGTTCATGACGAAGAAGCTGACGAGATCGCTTTGGTTGGCCGGTGGCTGGGAAATGTTGTTACAAAAAACGAACGGATGGACGCGTCGATAAGAGCATGGTTGTGTGCAAGCTATGCAACAAGGAATTCGCTATTGCTATTAGTGTAGTGTAGCAATATGCTATTTTGTTGCAATATGCTATTGCTACACTTAATGGCAAAAATTGCACTGGTCTGCTGGACTTGGTTGAACAAAAATAAACAATATTTTGTTGCTTAAGCTTATGTATGCAGTCATTATTCAATGGTATACTAAAAATCCATGTGAAAAAAATTACTTCTCACAGTTCTCAGGTCAAATATTTATGCGATTAAAATGCGATTAATTTCGATTAATTAATTACAAAGCCTCTAATTAATTAGATTAATTTTTTTAATCGAGTCCCGGCCCTAGTAATTTCAGTACGTGAAATCTCACGGCCCACAGAGAAGGAAATGAATAGCTGAATAAAGTCGTTATTTTTGTTTGTTTTTTGCGCACAGAAAGTATTCTCGTTGCTTGATAAACTTAAGGTTGAGCCACTGTAGTCACTCGGACTATTTTAACGATGTCTTTCATAACTTTTGGGCCGGCCAGCTTCGATCCCTTAAGAATCCTATTTAAAAAAAATATATAAAAATATCATAATTTGTGTTCAGAAGATGAACGAAAGTCTTACGGGGTCGGAACAACATGAGGGAGAGTAATTACTGACAGAGTTTACATTTTTGGGTGAACTAACCCTTTAATTACAACTAGTGTAAAAAAAAAATTGGTGTTTGTTCTGTACACGTTTCACTGGATCCGTGCAGTCGGTCTTAAAGTGATTGCAGCCTAATTAACCTGACGTAATTATTCATGCTAATCAAACAACAACAAAAGAGAAAACCTCTCACTGCTCTTGACTGAATCACTTTAGTAACTTTAGATACTAATGTCTCATTTAATTAGTAATTTTAAGACTATGTATTGTTTTTGTATTATTGTTTTGTCTTATTTCTAATGCTTGTTTTTCAGGCTTGTTCTCCAGAACGGCTATATATATATATATATATATTAGGGCTGTCAAAAGATTAATCGCGATTAATCGCATCCAAAATAAAAGTTTGTGTTTACATAATATATGTGTGTGTACTGTGTATAATTATTTTGTATATAAATGCACACACGTATATATTTCAGAAAATATGTTATTTATATATATAATGTTTATATTTATATAAAATATACATTATATATAGGCTACATTCAGTCTATATACATGCAAATATTTCTTAAATACACATGCATGTGTGGGTACTTATGTATTAAAAATAATTATACACAGTACACACACATATATTATGTAAAACAAACTTTTATTTTGGATGCGATAAATCGTGATTAATTGTTTGACAGCCCTAATATATATATATATATATATATATATATATATATATATATATATATATATATATATATATATATATATATATATATAAATTAACTAAATAACTTTTTTACAACAAAAATGAACCATCACTGAGCTTTCTTAAGCTGGAAAGTGAAGCTATTTTCTTCTGGAAACAAACTTTGTTGCATTATTTTCCTGTTATCTCTGTAAAGCTTCTTTGAAACAATCTGTAGTGTAAAAAGCGCTATATAAATAAAGGTGACTGATAAATAAACGGACAAACAAATAAACTCAGTTCTCAGATCTAGTTTATTTTACCTTGGTCTCTTAGCTAAAACTAAACCTTTATCATCAACGGTTGACTTTGAGGACTTCTGCAACTCTATTTACTTTGGAATTGACAACAAAGCATTTGCGCGTCTTCAAAAAATACAGAAGTCAGCCAAGAAATTTGAGCCAATTACACCGTTTTTAAAATCGTTGAAATGGTTGCTGGTTCGAGATAGAATTATCTAGAAGATCCTGTTACTTGTTTAAGGCGTTACACAATTATCTTTCTAGTATACTGGCATTTTATAATCCATCTAGATCTTTGAGATCCAAAAATCAAAATCTTCTCTGTGTTGTCAGAACAAATTACAAACAAAAAAAAAGAGCGTTTTCCCGTGTCGGACCCGGACTTTACTGACCGTACAGAAAGAAGGAGATCATTGCAAAGTCACTACCGAGAGTTAAGGCCATGTTAAAAGCACATCTGGTTACACTTTATTCAGGTGTCAGTGTTACAGTGTAATTATATATTTAAGTACCAAGTAATATTAAGCAACTACATGCACTTACTATAGGGTTAGAATTTGGTTGGTGGTTAGTTGCATGTAATTACTGTTATTAGTACTATGGTAAATAAATACATATGTAACAAGGACATTGTAAAATAAAGAGTTACTGCACATCTTTTAAAGACTTCTTTCCGCACATTAACTTGTCTACTTGTTTTGTTTTTTGTATTTCTCTCTCTGTACTCCTCTTATTTGTGTGTGTTTTAGTGATTGTGAAGCTTTTTGGGCAACAGCTGTTCCGTTAAATGTGCCTATATCAGTCCCTCCAGTTTTTTGCGATTCTGCGATCGCTGAATACAACGCAAAATCAACAAAATGTCGCATTTTTTTGCGATCCTGCATAATTCCTAATTTAACCGCAAAATAATCACAAAAAATAAAAAAAAGTCCTCTCAAAACATTAAATTATAATCACCCAATTGAAATATCTCTAGTTAATTAAAGTTTCAATGCATTTTTACGTGGGTACAGATTACAGAATAGATGTTGCGCACGCGTGATGTCTGTGAGCGGTCTGTCAGAAAAATGGCGAAAGAAAAAGCGTCTCTCCTGCCCTCTCAGCGCCCAGGTTTTCATTGGGCAGTACGGCAAACTTATTAACGCGTTTAACATGATTGAATGACATAACAAAAAGTATTATATGCTCGATGGTACTAAAAAGAATTCTTAAAAGCGCAGTATACCGTGAAAGAGAACTAATTTCAGCCAGTCGAGTGACAGTCTGTCTCTGACAAATATTCATCTTGGCAAGTATTAACGTAAAACAATCAGTAATAACTGATTGGGACGTTTGTCATTACTGTAGTATGTCTTAAAGTGACAGTAACCTAATTTACCTGCTGTTGTTAATGTTAATCAAGCAACAACAATTATAGGCTACAGCATAATGTTAAAAAAAGAATTTGATTAGACCAAATAAACAAGCTTTATGCATTTTGTTTGTGATTTGTGTCATGTATGACTATTGTGTATCTGACATAATACTATTATGGTAAATGTGATGTCCTAATTATAAAATATAAAAATCGCACATTTTTTCACAAATTTTTGGAAATTACCACCACAAAATCAGTCATTTTGATCGCAAAAATCACATAAAAAAATCGTGAAATCCTGGAGGGACTGCTATATGTATGAATAAATGAAATGAAGTGCACAGATACTCACCAAAGGCGTACGAGCTGGAGCCGGGATCGTTCCCGGAGTGCTCCGATCTGGGGTTGCTGAAATAGTCGTTGTCTGCGGATGAGTTTTTGGTCCTGGGCTCGGCTAGGATAGCTCTGAAAGCTGCAGAGACAAGCGGCTCATCAGCACATCTGGAAACAACAGCCACAGTCGTAAAGGAGAGAAGATGACACTCTTACTCTTGTCACAGTTTTCTATGGCCTTGGCGGCTTGCGAAGGCTTGTGGAACCGCACGTATCCCAGACCTTTGCTTTCACCGGTGTTCTTGTTCCTTATAATGATAGCGTACTCTATATCTCCATACACCTGTGGAAAGACAGCAGAGAGATATCCGAGTCATATATCAGCTTACAATCAAATAAGAGAAATTATATTTTGCTTAGCTTAAGATTCCATGTATGATTTTCATGCTAATCAATCAAATTTTGTCAAAAATCTTTTAAAGGATCGGTCCCACAAGGATCGGTCCTTGCTCTGTTACTTTTTTCGCTTTATACGTTACCTCTGGGGACTATCTTCTGAAAATACAATGTAGCATTTCATTGCTACGCAGATGATACTCAGATATATGTGCCAGAGAGACAGTCAAATACAAATTCAATGTATACTTTATTAGCGTGTCTACAAGACATCGAGGCCTGGGTGGCTGCAAATTGTTTTAAGCTTAACGAAGACGAAACTGAGGTAATTGTGTCCGGCCCTGGCAGTGATGCTGCGACTCAATCTTTGAAATCAACACCCTTGTCTGGTTTAATGAAACCCAGTGTCAAAAATCTGGATCATCAAATAAATATGGATCGTCACATAAACTCAGTTGTGAGAACCAGTTTTTTCATTCACGTCTTTTATACTAAACCATTTTATCAGTTCCAGATTTTGAGAAAGCAATTACAGCTTTGGTCTTCAAAGTCCAGAACGCAACAGCAAGGATGATCAAGTCTGCCATTAATTTAAAGTAAAACGGAAATCGAGGGTAACGCGGATATGATGTCATTGACAGGCGACGCACAGACACGGGCCGTTACACTGGTTAAAATAGCGGATTTCTCTGGATTTAAACATTGTTAAAACATTTGGGATCATTTAAGTACCCAAGTCAACAAAATATTTGTTCTAGTCGTTTTTGGATATTTTAATCTTAAAATCGTACACGTTGCGCCTTTAAATCGTCCCCAGTCCAGGATTTTAGGATCATTACAGATATTCTGGTGAGCGCCTCATCCTTCACAACCACACTTTCTCAACTGAAATGAACCATTTAATCATATTATATTGTTATAATCTCAAAATAAGTAGACACATGATAAATTGGTCCTTAGTAGGCCTATGCAAAATATAACTACATGCAATGTCAATTTCCTTTTAATTTGGGGGTAAAATTTGATACATTCACCCGTCAAGACATGCTTTCAAACGTCCCATCAGATAATACCTTGAAAGTTTCTTTTAAATCTTCCTCAGCGAAGGACTTTGGGATCATCACAAATATCCTGGTGAGCTCCTCGTCCTCCACATCCCGGTGGCTCCCGGAGGATCTGGCCTGAGCGATGAACACCTGGAGGAGCAGAACACGCAGGACACGCTGACATTAACAGCTGTGAGTGAGGAGTAACACTGGAACCAGCGTCGGGGAAACTTACTTTGAAAAGTAATGCATTACAATATTGCGTCACTCCCTTAAAAATTAACTAATTGCATTACTTTTCTAAAAAAAGTAACTTAGTAACGCGTTACGTTACTTTTGCAGTACTTTTTGTCCACCTGGGCTGGCCTTGTTTTTTATTTAAAAACAAAATAAGTTATATTTTTGGGCAAATGTAAAGACCCTTTCACACCAAAAGTGTAATAATAAGCCTCAGGCTGAAGGAAATGTAAATTCACGCGTGTACAGTAGAGGACGCCGCTCACACAAACCTTTCAGCTGTGCAGAAGAATAGAAGAGGAGAACAAAGTAACACTTACTTTACCAATAAAAACACCACAAAAAAAAATCTATAATAATTTTTGCTTATGGTTGAAGTCTGAATCGAAGGTCAGAAGCAAGTACATTGGTCAATTAAAGTGAGATTAAATGCATAAAAAAAAGATTTTTTTAAAAATATTTAGTTATTGAAGGTTTGCATAGTATTCTGATTCTGCATTTCAATGATTTTATTCATTTTGAGGAATATTGATTCTTTTTTTGTGCAAGTGAGATGGGTAAATGCACGCTCACATTAAGTCTAGAACTACAATAACCATCATGGTCACACACACACACACACACTGGACTTCGATTTGTCTCAACACAGGACAGGAGAGCTGTCAGTCAATCAATGGGAAAACAAAGTCACTTGCGTTACTTATTTGAAAAAGTAATCTGAGTACGTAACTCAAGTGAATTACACTGCATATTGAGATTATTGCTTTACCTTCATCCCAGTCCTTAAATTGTAAGACATACAAGTTAGTTACCCCAACATGTAACTGTGTCTGGCACTATTAATCTCCTATTATCACTGTAAAGCTGTTTTGAGACGATCTACATTGTTAAAAGCCCTGTATAAATGAATGGGACCTGACTCCATGAATCACCTTGATGGGTTTGGTCCCCTCGGCCAGGCTCCGGCCGTGCATCTCCTCCATCGCGGTGCAGGCCTGAGAGGACTTGGAGAACTTCACAAACGACACTCCTTTCGACTCTTTCGTGTGCTTGTCCTTCACCACCCAGATGTCCTGGATCTCGCCGAACGTGGTGAAGTGTTCTCGGATGATCTCCTCGGTTATGGACTTACTGGTGACGAGAAACAGACGACTGTTCGCCGGCTCGTCCAGGTACGAGGAGGCGCGGTTAGATTCGTCCATAGTAATGGCTAAAATTTCTATTATTGATTTATTAGACCTTCTAGTCAGCAAAACTGATCTAAAAATCCCTTTGAAGAAATGCAGCGTGGGCTACAACACGTTTAAGATTATATTATCCTGACAACATTTAAACAACAGCACTTCTCTTCTTTTTCTTCTTCTTCTTCTTCTGTGGGTTTATTGGCGGGTTTTTGGTTCATACCGCCACCTCCTGTGTGGAGTATGAAGTGACTTCAGTCTACGTATCTTAAAGAGATAGTTCACCCAAAATTTTTAAATCTGTCATCATTTACACAATTGTTTGAAATTGTTTCAAACCTGTATGAATTTCTTTCATGGATAACCACACGTGATGATGAGCCCCATTGACTTAACATAGTAGGAGGGGTGAAAAAATACAGCGTAGGCTATAATACTTTAAAATGATATTATTCTGACAACATATCAACAAAATATAGCGCAGCTTCTTCTTCTTCTTCTTCTTCTTCTTCTTCTTCTTCTTCTTCTTCTTCTTCTTCTTCTTCTTCTTCTTCTTCTTCTTCTTCTTCTGTGGGTTTATTGGTGGTTTTTAGGTTCATACCGCCATGAAGTGACTTCATGTGTTAAAGAGACAGTGCACCCCAAAATCTGTCATCATTTACATGGACTATTTTAACGATGTCTTTCATAACTTTTGGGCCGGCAAGTTTCGATCCCTTAAGAAGCCTATGGAGAAGTGATCCAGCTCTCAGATTTAATCAAAAATATCTTAATTTGTATTGCGAAGATGAACGAATGTCTTACGGGGTTGAACAACATGAGGGAGAGTAATTACTGACAGGATTTTCATTTTTGGGTGAACTAACCCTTCAAGGCGACGTAATTGTAACATTGTTCAAGTTCAGGGAAGAAGGAGGTGTATGTTAAACGTAAATTTAGTTGTAAATTAAACAACAAAACGAAAGGAACGGCAGCGGCGACTGCGGCGTATAAGCACAATCAGAACAGCAGGTAATGTCCTCTCGGCCCGCCCTGCTTCACACCACAGTAATGTTAAGAAAAATGTAATACATTTGTTCATCTATGAACGTGATTTCTGCGTGAGTCCAGTCGACCTTTAAAATAAACTTCTGAGGTATTTTCTGATGAACGATTCGAAAACGCATCACATTTCACCCCAAATTGAAAGGAAATTAAACAATAAATTATGTTTTACATAAAGGTAAAGAAATGTATTTCTAGTCTTTTACCATTCATAACAGTAACATTATTAAAAATGTTAGGGTTAGGGTTAGGGTTAGAGGGTTAGATTTTAACCTAGATTTGCTGGTGTTTTATCTGATCTCATCAAGCTATATCGCCCTTATGTGTAGATTTTGTCCTGCTAACTCATTAAAGATGATGATTCTCTGATCTCAAGGATCTGAGGGACAACATGTTGGACATAGAGTGTCTGATTGTGAAGAGCCCTAAAAACAAGTATGAGAATCTTAAACAGAATTCTGTAATGTACAGGCAGCCATTTACATAAAATTAATAGCGGCGTAACAGAGTCATATATTTTGGCAGACTTGATCATCCTTCCAGCTGCGTTTTGTTTACATTTTGTGTATCTTGTTCAGTTTATCTGCTCCTCCCCCTTTTGGTTTCCGCTGTGAGTATTTAGGTCTATGTCTGGTTTGTTTATAGGTTGAACCTTCACATTCTTTCTCTGTTCGGTGTGTTTCTCTGGCCGTATTGGATTGAAACACAGGCAGGCACAAGTTAAACACAACTACAACACAGTTGTCATCGTACACACAACGACTCACACTTATTTCTAATGATGTGATTAATCCAACTGTACATAATACAAGTCAGTTCAGAGTCCCAAAATTGACTCAAAATGTTGCACTGAATGTTGATACCAATAATGTATGGAAACGATATAAGAGGTAGGAGGAAGAGTGTGTGTAAAAGAGGAAGAGGACGAGGAAGTGCAGGTGTGTATAGTGTAATCAAGGCTGGATCTGCTGTAGGGTTTGTCCCTTCTCCTGCAGAGACGACAGTGTGTGTGATGTGGAGAAACTCCTCCGGCCGGACCGATACTCCAGGGCTCTCAAGTTTTGAAGACAGGCGAAATGCGTGACACTTGATAGTTCTGCAAACATGAAGACGTGATGCAGAAGCAGAATAAATCTCTCACTGACTCTCATTCTGCCGTCGCATGACTCTTCTGGGTGACAATAACATGCTCTTCATTTAGAGTTATTTACTGTAACCCTTTTGGCTTTTGCAGTCGGTCACAGTATTGTCCCAGTATGCAAGAGCTGAATATCTATTACAATACTACACTTGTAAAGTATATTTATTATATTAAAAAAAGGGGCGTGGTAACAGAAAAACAAGGAGGCGGGACATGAGGAGCACATGGCAAACACAGACCAAGACAGAGCCATGTGCTCAAACACAAAACAAACACAGAAACATGAAACCACAACAAAACAGACAAGGCTGCCAGGGCAGAACCCTGACAGCATGGGACGTCCCCTACAAGAACTGACCATTCGGTTTTTTTCTACTTATTAGAAATGAGATATTTATAGGCCTCTGAAGTCGAATAATGTGACATTTCTCCAAAATGCTACAGTAAAATGGTTTGATATGAGGTGTGTATACTGTATGGGACGTCCCCTACAAGAACTGACCATTCGTTTTTTCTACTTATTAGAAATGACGTATTTATGAGCCTCTGAAGTCGAATAATGTGACATTTCTCCAAAATGCTACAGTAAAATAGTTTGAAATGAGGTGTGTATACTGTATGGGACGTCCCCTACAAGAACTGACCTTTAGTTTTTTCTACTTATTAGAAATGACGTATTTATGGGCCTCTGAAGTCGAATAATGTGACATTTCTCCAAAATGCTACAGTAAAATGGTTTGATATGAGGTGTGTATACTGTATGGGACGTCCCCTACAAGAACAGACCTTTAGTTTTTTCTACTTATTAGAAATGACGTATTTATGAGCCTCTGAAGTCGAATAATGTGACATTTCTCCAAAATGCTACAGTAAAATAGTTTGAAATGAGGTGTGTATACTGTATGGGACGTCCCCTACAAGAACAGACCTTTAGTTTTTTCTACTTATTAGAAATGACGTATGTATGGGCCTCTGAAGTCGAATAATGTGACATTTCTCCAAAATGCTACAGTAAAATAGTTTGAAATGAGGTGTGTATACTGTATGGGACGTCCCCTACAAGAACAGACCTTTAGTTTTTTCTACTTATTAGAAATGACGTATTTATGAGCCTCTGAAGTCGAATAATGTGACATTTCTCCAAAATGCTACAGTAAAATGGTTTGATATGAGGTGTGTATACTGTATGGGACGTCCCCTACAAGAACTGACCATTAGTTTTTTCTACTTATTAGAAATGACGTATTTATGAGCCTCTGAAGTCGAATAATGTGACATTTCTCCAAAATGCTACAGTAAAATGGTTTGAAATGAGGTGTGTATACTGTATGGGACGTCCCCTACAAGAACTGACCATTAGTTTTATCTACTTATTAGAAATGACGTATTTATGAGCCTCTGAAGTCGAATAATGTGACATTTCTCCAAAATGCTACAGTAAAATGGTTTGATATGAGGTGTGTATACTGTATGGGACGTCCCCTACAAGAACTGACCATTCGTTTTATCTACTTATTAGAAATGACGTATTTATGAGCCTCTGAAGTCGAATAATGTGACATTTCTCCAAAATGTTACAGTAAAATGGTTTGAAATGAGGTGTGTATACTGTATGGGACGTCCCCTACAAGAACTGACCATTAGTTTTATCTACTTATTAGAAATGACGTATTTATGAGCCTCTGAAGTCGAATAATGTGACATTTCTCCAAAATGCTACAGTAAAATGGTTTGATATGAGGTGTGTATACTGTATGGGACGTCCCCTACAAGAACTGACCATTAGTTTTATCTACTTATTAGAAATGACGTATTTATGAGCCTCTGAAGTCGAATAATGTGACATTTCTCCAAAATGCTACAGTAAAATGGTTTGATATGAGGTGTGTATACTGTATGGGACGTCCTCTACAAGAACTGACCATTCGTTTTTTTCTATTATTAGAAATGTGGCCTTTATGGGCCTCTGAAGTCGAATAATGTGACATTTCTCCAAAATGTTACAGTAAAATGGTTTGATATGAGGTGTGTATACTGTATGGGACGTCCCCTACAAGAACAGACCTTTAGTACTTATTAGAAATGACGTATTTATGAGCCTCTGAAGTCGAAAAATATGACATTTCTCCAAAATGCTACAGTAAAATAGTTTGATATGAGGTGTGTATACTGTATGGGACGTCCTCTACAAGAACAGACCTTTAGTTTTTTCTACTTATTAGAAATGACGTATTTATGAGCCTCTGAAGTCGAATAATGTGACATTTCTCCAAAATGCTACAGTAAAATAGTTTGATATAAGGTGTGTATACTGTATGGGACGTCCCGTATAAGAACTGGCCATTCGTTTTTTCTATTATTAGAAATGTGGCCTTTATGGGCCTCTGAAGTCGAATAATAATGTGACATTTCTCCAAAATGCTACAGTAAAATGGTTTGATATGAGGTGTGTATACTGTATGGGACGTCCCCTACAAGAACTGACCTTTAGTTTTTTTTACTTATTAGAAATGACGTATTTATGAGCCTCTGAAGTCGAATAATGTGACATTTCGCCAAAATGCTACAGTAAAATAGTTTGATATGAGGTGTGTATATTGTATGGGACGTCCCGTATAAGAACTGGCCATTCGTTTTTTCTATTATTAGAAATGTGGCCTTTATGGGCCTCTGAAGTCGAATAATGTGACATTTCTCCAAAATGTTACAGTAAAATGGTTTGATATGAGGTGTGTATACTGTATGGGACGTCCCCTACAAGAACAGACCTTTAGTACTTATTAGAAATGACGTATTTATGAGCCTCTGAAGTCGAATAATGTGACATTTCTCCAAAGTGTTACAGTAAAATGGTTTGATATGAGGTGTGTATACTGTATGGGACGTCCCCTACAAGAACTGACCTTTAGTACTTATTAGAAATGACGTATT